ACAGGGGATCCAGACGTCCCTTTCTGGCTCTACCACACCCCCTTCCCATCGCAGTCACGGCACTTATCACACAGTCCTATCATTGTCCAGGTCCCCACAAAAACACAGATGATTCACCAGGAAAGAAGTTAAGTTGGCTTTTGTTTGTTTGTTTGTTTGTTTTGAGACAGGGTCTCACTCCAGTTGCCCAAGTTGGAATGCAGCAGCGCAATCTCAGCTCACTGCAATCCTCCCATCTCACTGCAAAGCCTCCCAAGTAGCTGGGACTACAGGTGTGTGGCACAACACCCAGCTAATATTTTGTATTTTTACTAGAGATGGGGTTTTGCCATGTTTCCCAGGCTGGTCTTGAACTTCTGGACTGGAGCAATCCACCCACCTCAGCCTCCAGAAGTGCTGGAATTACAGGTGTGAGCCACCACACCCGGCCTGGTTTTTAAACAGTTGAAGGTATGGTGAATTTCACTCATAATTAATGAAATTCACATAAAGAATGCCAGCTGACAAATGGCAACAAAAGGACAAAATTAGAAAATCAGCATTTTCTAATGATAGTAACTGATTCAGTCACAGACCATCAATGAATGAGGAACTGGACACCCACAAGGAGCTGGTCAGAAGAGGAGAAGTGGACATTTACCTAGAGAGGTGTGGTCACCGCCTGAAGCCCATGATCAGGCTTGGCATTATTAGCAGTGGGACAGTTAGACATGAAGTGAGGTGAAATGGAGCACATAGCACCACTCGTGAAATATAATTACTTTCTTACCCCAAAATGTTCCATCTAAATCTAATCCATCCATTGGATGTAAATACTAGTTTTTGGGAAATATAGGAGAGAGTACAGGAAGTTAAAGGACACCACAGTGAAGCAACGTGACAGATCCCAGAGAGGAACACTGTCCAAGACAACTGGCCCAGTCTCTTCATGAGTCACTGCCATTGGGGGTCAAAAAAAAAAAAATAGAGTGAGGACCATATTAGATTAAAATAGACTTAAGACTGCAGGAACAAAATCCATTACGTGGTCCTTGATTGGATCCTGGTTGAAACCACCTGTAAAGACATTTCTGGCAAAACTGGAGAGATTTGAATATAAATATATTTTTTGAGACAGGGTCTCACTCTGTGGCCCAGGCTGGAGTGCAGTGGCATAATCTCAGCTCACTGCAATCTCCACCTCCCAGGCTCAAGCGATTCCCCCCGCCTCAACCTCCTAAGTAGCTGGGACAACAGGCACATGACACCATGCCTGGCTAATTTTTGTATTTTTTGTAGAGATGGGGCCTTACCATGTCACCCAGGGTGGCCTTAAACTCCTGGACTCAAGTGATATGCCTGCCTCGGCCTCCCAATGTGCTAGGATTACAGGCGTGAGCCACCATACCTGGCCTTCATATTGTTAATTTCTTAATATGAAAATTGCATTTTATGTAAGAAAATGACCTATGTTAGATACAAATTATTTGATACTTTATAAGTATCGAATACCGATATATTTAGTTGGAGAAATATCATGATGCCTATAATTTATTTCAAAATACTTCACTCCCCAATTAAACAAATATGGCAAATTTTTCCCAATGCTTATACCTAGTTGATAGATATATGGATGTTCATTGAGCTACTTTCACATGTTTGAAATTGTTTTGTAATAATAAGAAAAAAAAAAGCAAACTAAAGACATACCATTTTCTACCCATAGATTCACAAAGAAACAGTTTTAAAATAGGCTGTGTTGGCAAGGGTGAGGGAAATGGGCACTGTAGTATAACCTCTTTGAAGTGATGTTTGGCAAAGCCATGCCCTTCAATTGCTTCTAGGAATTTAGCAAACAGATTATATAGAAATATGGGCAAATATATATAAATAAGGATATTCACTGCAGCTTTATCTTTATTATAAAAGATTAGAAACAACATATATGTCCATCAGTAGAAGTTAAGTAAATTTTTTGTGATCTATCCATATAGTACAGAGTCCTACAAAGTATAGGGTAGACCTGTTGTGCTGATAGGAAACTCTTTCCAAGATGTCTTGCTAAGTGAACAAGCCAAAGAGCAGGCCAGTGTCTGTCTGTCTGTCTGTCTGTCTGTCTTATTGCTATATCTCTGGTGCCTAGCAACACACCTGGCACACAGTGGGTCCACAATTAATATTAGTTGAGGGAATGAACACGTATCTGAGCATGACTGCTGTGAGTCAGGCTCCCTGAATGCCACCAGTTTCAAGACATCGATAGGGGCCAGATTTTCCATACCATCAAATTTCCACCCAACAGGATGGCCGCTCCTGGTCCAACTGCTGGCATGCAAACCCAGGTGCCAGCTATTCTGGGTTTTCATGAACCTGGAAATCCAGATGTTTGCGTGAAATTGCTCATTTTAAAATTTGTCAATAAAATAACACTGGGGTAGGCGTAAGAGAACATATCTGCAGGGTGGGTCCAAGCCAACACATTGTCAGTTTGCAACTTCTGCATTAGCGTATTTAACTTTTGCCACACTGCTGGAGGCAGTATGTTCAGTAACACAGCACTTGTTGCTATAACAGATACAAACCTCAGTGACTTCACACAATAGAATTTTATTTTCACTCATATAAAGTCCATTTGGCAGCAGGTGTGGGGAGGAACAAGGAGTTTTATCAACTTTCCCTTGGGGCTTTCAAGTTCCTCCAGGCATTGATATTCAATAGGCAGATGGGAAGAGAGAGTGGAGGATCATGGGGGTTTTATGGGCAGCAGCATTCCTCACTTCTGCCCACATTCATTGGCCACAACTCAGTCATGTGGTTGCCCCACCTCAATGCAAAGTGGAGTAGTCCCTGGTGAGTGGCAGCCACCTTCCAACAACTACTGTGTCCTATGGACTGAGAACACTGGGTGACAGTGATCCATCTCTGCCTCGTGCAGTTATCATCATCTCTACTTCACAGATGACGAGTCGAATCTCAGAGAGGGTAAGTGACCTGTGAGAAGTCACCCAACCAGGAGCCCTATCTTACTGCCTCCAATCCAGGGATCTTTCCTCTATCTCAGTGTTTCCCAACTGTGTTAGACCATTCTCACATTGAGATAAAGAAATACCTGAGACTGGGTAATTTATAAAGAAAAGAGGTGTAATTGGCTCATGGTTCTGCAGGCTATACAGGAAGCATGGCACCAGCACCTGCTTGGCTTCTGGTGAGGCCTCAGAAAGCTTCCAATCATGGCTGAAGGCAAAGGGGAAGTTGGCATATCATATGGTGAGAGAGGAAGCAAGACAGAGTAGGGGAAGATGTGCCACATACTTATTTTTTTATTTTGCTTTCTTAACCTGTTCCCAACCACACACTTTTAGACAATCAGATCTCACAAGAACTCACTGACTATTGCAAGGACAGCACCAAGCCAAGAGGGGTACACCCCCATGATCCAATCACCTCCTACAAGGCCCCACCTCCCGCACTGGGGACTACATTTCAACATGAAATTTGGTGGAGACACAGATGCAAACCATATCACCAACCTTGCATCTCATGAGAATCGCCTATGGCACTTGTTAAACCTGCAAGATTGTGACCCTGGGAGCATACAGGATTGAATTTTCCTTCAAGATATACCATGCCCTTTTTTGCAAAATCGAACAGTGAACAACAACAAAAATTTCACAAAAGAGTGACAAAAAATGTATGCTGAACGAGGGAGGCTAATGTAGCAACTGAGACTTGATAGAAAATGTAGCTATAGGTTTTGTGGCAGCCAAGGCAAAAGGGAAACCCAGGGGCCACAGAACATCTATTACCTGGTAGAAGGAGGTTCACTGGTTCCTTTTGAGTACGGCTTACAGCCTGGGGGATGAGGTACCCAGGAGTCCTTAGCAGCATGATGGATGGGGGTGGGTGGTCGGGGGTAAGAGGGAGGACTGAGCTTATCTTCCTAGTACATCTATTTCCATCTGTTGTCCCAGGGTCTGCTTCTGTATTTCCTCAATGGTAAATAAATTAAAACACAGTATTTATAGTAATGGAAGTATAGGTGTATTAAGGAACTTTTCTGAAGTTCTTATGAATGTTTAGGGCAGACTTTGTGACAGCAAAGGCATTATGGGCTTTCTTTGGGCTCACCTGGTTATGCCTTGGTAGAAGATGCGACCTGGAACCAATGACTTGACATTTCTGAGCCTCGCCTTTCTCATCTGTGAAAAATGATGATTGTGCAGATGAAATGAGATGATGCATGTAAGGGGCTCAGGTTGATAAATGGTTGCTGTGCCATTGTTTATATTCTTACCATATTATCATGACCTTATGGCTAGAAGCACAGACTCTGGAGCCAGACTGCCTATGTTCACATCAGCCTCAACACCTACCAGCTCGATGACCTTGGGCAAGGTCACTTAGCCTCTCTGTGCCTCAGTTTCCTTCTCTGTAAAATGAAGCTAATAGGACTATTGTGAGAGCTAAATGGGCTGATAGTTGTAAAGCTCTTAGAACAGTGCCTGGGCATACAGTAAGTGCTATGTAAGTGTCTGTTAAATATATCATAGTCTTTTCCCTCTACCCTTCGAGGCCCTTCAGGGGAAAAGTTAGAAGATAACAGCTTCAACGCGAGACAAGTAATTTCCAGACACTAATTTCTAAAGGAACAGATCTCTAGAATCCCAGTTAAGAGGTATTTGCCCCTTAGAAGACCGAGAAGCAGGAAAGCGTTGATGATGGTGGAATCTTTGGCAGGTGCCTGGCCCCACACGCTGATCTGTTTGGGGGGCACGACCTACTTCCTCGGGTTCCCTCCATCCTTGCAGGGAGACTGACACTGAGGGCTGGCGGCTTTTCTGGCGCGGGCCAGGGGCGGGCCAGGGGGAGGAGAAGGAAGGAGCTCCCGGGATCCCCTTGCCCCCTCCCCCAACTGCCCGGTGAGTAATGACATTCACGGAGCGGGGAGGGAGGGAGGAGAGGGGCAGGCTCGGCGAGGCCATGTGATGCTGGGCGAGAGAGAGCCGCCGCGCCGGAGCCTCCTTCTTTCCTGCCTCTGATTCCGGGCTGTCATGGCGACCCCCAACAATCTGACCCCCACCAACTGCAGCTGGTGGCCCATCTCCGCACTGGAGAGCGATGCGGCCAAGCCGGCGGAGGCCCCCGACGCTCCCGAGGCGGCCAGCCCCGCCCATTGGCCCAGGGAGAGCCTGGTTCTGTACCACTGGACCCAGTCCTTCAGCTCACAGAAGGTAGAACCGGGCCGGGAGCCGCCTGCGCCGGTGGCCGGGAGGCTTGGGGAGGGGAGCCCCAGGGCTTGAGGGATCTGACGGCAGCGAAAGACTGGAGGGGGAAACCTGGGGTCTGGGGGTCCCGGAGGTCGGGGGACGCGGGTGTTCCTTCCAGGGCTGCTCACCTGGGAGGCGACAGGCCCTGCCTGGGCCCCAGGAGCACAGTTCTCAATTTTAGGAGCATCCACTCTGCCTCTTTCCCTCCCAGAAACAGCAGGTCTGTCGGGGTGCGGGGCGCGGGCGGGTGGGGGGGGGGTGCTGAGAAAAGAGACAAAGGCGAGGGGAAGAGAATGGGCACTGCTGGGAAGACGGCCTGGTGGGGTGGGAGGTGCTGCTGCTGCAGGGAGGGAGAAGAAGCGCTTCCTGGGGTCCAGCCCCGGTAGCCCCCTCTCAGTCCCTCCCTGCACGCTGCCTTCCCGGACACTGCAGCCCCCCAGGTCACAGCTCCTCTGCCCCTCTGTCTGCGGGCCTTCTTCTGGCTGGGGTTTGGAGGATCTGTCCCCAGTCGTCGCCCACCCCCCACTCCGTGTCTTGGGCTGAGAAGGAAGGAGTTAAACTATCCCCTCACACCAGCTCGGCTCAGCCCATCAGGTCTCTGTTTTGCTCTTAAAGGCACAGAGTGGCTTCAGCCCCTAAAATGCTTCTAGGACCTAGGGGAGCTGAGGGGCAGTTGGAAATCCAATCTTATGCTGGATTCTCAGGGTTCCCGCTTCCTGGGGGTGAGGCAGTGAACTGCACCCCTCAGACAGGGGCGCCTCTAGGGGCGCAATCTCCCATCCTAGGCGGTTGTCCCGTCTCTGGGCCACGGATTCAGCACCATGGCCAGGGCCCAGAGGCAGGTCCTGCCGGGGCCTAAGCGGCACCACTGCCTGACACTCTGACTCCTGTTCTTCCTGGAAGATCCTTTTGTTACACTCGCTTCTTTTTCCAGATGGAAAAACAGATTCCATGAAGAAAAAGGGCCTTGAAACCCAAAGACTTGGGTTTGAGTCTTGGTCCAGGCTCATTTCATCATCTGGAAAGCGGGATAGTGATAATAACAATAGCTACTTCCAATCCCAACCCCTTCTCAGGGTTGCTGATAGCGTTGTTGAAGAAGGGGTATAACTTAGGAACTTAGTGTTATAAACTGGGACTACTCAAACTTGAGCGTGCATTAGAATCCCTGGATGATCCTGCTTAAAACTCAGACTGCTGGATTCTACCCCAACGATCCTGATTCAGTGGGTCTGGAATGGGGTCCAAGATGCTGCTTTTCCAGCGAGTGACCAAGTGATGCTGATGAAGCTGGTCCACCAATCATATTATCCACTGACTCACTGTGGCTGTGGACAGGTCCCTTTGCCTTTCCAAAGCCTCAGATTTATAATCTGTAAAATGGGGTGAATGCAGTAACTTCCTCGGAGGGCTATTGTGAGAGTGAAATGTGATATGATGCACAAAAAGTACTGATGGCAGTGCCTGGCGAGGGGTCAAGACTGTTGATAATGAGTGTTATGATTTTTTTTTTTTTTTTTTTTTTTTTGAGACAGAGTCTTGCTCTGTTACCCAGGCTGGAGTGTAGTGACACGATCTCGGCTCACTGCAACCTCTGCCTCCTGGGTTTAAGTGATTCTCCTCTCTCAGCCTCCTGAGTAGCTGGGACTACAGGCACACACCACCACACCCAGCTAAATTTTTTGTATTTTTGGTAGAGATGGGGTTTCACCATGTTTGCCAGGCTGGTCTCGAACTGCTGATCTCAAGTGATCCACCCGCTTTGGCCTCCCAAAGTGCTAGGATTACAGGCATGAACCACCACGTGCTGCCATTATGATGTTATTAAAGCACTAGGTAAAGGAGGGGTCAGAGTTAATCAAGGTCATACTGGAGTCACCCACAAATTCTGCACATGCTTGCACATGCCATGTCTCGTGCAAGGAGCCTGGGGATGGGGGCTTTGGAGATGAATCAGACTGCCCTTCAGATTCTAGAACCTCCTTCCACCTAGAACATCAGGAAGTGGGCCCCAGCAGCTGGGACCAGAGGGGGGCAGGGAGGTGGCATCTCCCATAACCATATCATGAGGGAGCCTCCTGTTCTTTGCCCCATGAAATATTTCCTATGTAGCCTGAGCTCAGGGCTGAGGTGGCCCCTGAGTCAGGATGAGACCATCTGCTGCAGCCCCACTTTGGACCAAGTCTCTGGCCAAGCTAACCTGGGCATCTTTCTGTCTCCCATACCAGGGCCTTCCCCCTACCCAGGGGTCCATGGTGGATTCTAGAAGCAGTGTAGCTTGGCAGAAAGGGCATGGGCTCTGCAGTCATATAGTCCTGGGTTCTATTTTCATCTTGGCTACTTACTGGCTGAATGACCTTGGACAAGTCACTTTACCTCTCTGTGCCTCAATGTCCTTATCTGGAAAAGGGGATTTTACATCCTACGCTGCAGAATTCCTTTAGAAGACATAGGCATATGTTCTGCCTGGCATGTAGTAGGAGCTGAGCAGGTGAGTTTGCTTCCTTCTCTCCAATCTTGAAGAGCCTTAATTATATAAAGAGGGCAGTCCCCCATTGTCAAGCATCTAAATAGCCTGTCTTTAATGGCACATGAAATGTTAATGGAGAAAAATAGCCCACCTCTAGGAGTGATGGTGGCTCCATTGGGCATCTGGAGATCATTCCAGATGCAGAGGACAAGAGGACAGTGTGTGGGTCCAGGACCCAGACTCTATGACCAGACTGCCCGGCTTCCATCTCAGCTCTACCACTGACCAGCTGGGTAATCCAGTGCAAGCTGCTTAACCTCTCATGCCCCAGTTATCCACACCTGTAAATTGAGAATATTAATGGTGCCTCCCCAACAGGGTCGTTGTAAGGATTCTGCAAATGTATCCATGTCAATCTCCTAGAACAGCACGTGGCACATAGAAAGTGCTCAGTTAAGTGCTGGGTGCTGTTATAAAGGCATGGATTTTGGAATCAGCCAGACATGTGGTCAAACCCCAACTCTGCCATTCCCAGCTATGTGACTTTGTGCAAGTATCTTCTTTATCTCTCTAAGGCAGCTTTCTCATATATTTGGGGGAGAGGGTTGGGGAGATTGAGTGATATCATGCATGTTCACACACTTAGCACAATGCTTTAAATAATAGCCTGTTAATAGTGAGCTTTCAAGCACTATCATAGGTCATGATTTGGGGCCACAGGGTTTGAAGGAGGCTCTAAATGCCTAAGATCAATGTTAGGATGCTTCTGAGGCTATTCCTGCCCCCAGCCTCCTCATCCTTTGTGGGGAAGAGTAAGGTCAGGAGGGCCAGAAATGCAGGGAGTCAGACCAAGGTTCTAGCGCTGCCAGTCCCACTAACTGGCTGTGTGACCTAACCCTCTCTGGTCCTCAGTTTTCTCAGAGGGAAATGAAGCAGATGTTTGACACAGCCTGCCTCCCTCCTCCTTCCCCAGGCAGGAAGAACTGCCCTACCTCTCGGTGCCCCCTGCCTTTGGGGCATCCATCTGTCCTCCTACCTGCCACTTTTCAAAAACCAAGATTGCTACTTCCTAGCTGTGTGACTGGGCAAGTTACTTACAATCTCTATGCCTGTTTCCTCTTCTTAAAAGTGTGGGTACTGGGAGGTACTAGTACCAATCTCATTGGAATTCATAGGGATTAAGATCTAATGCGTGTAAAGCTCTACAATAGTGCCTGGCACAGAGGAGATGCTAATAAGAGTTGGCTGCTGTTACTGCTGTTATTTCCACCAGAGTGAGTCTCTGAGGATTGTCCTTGGCTCCCTTCAGCAAGCCTGGTTCATGGTTCCTTTACTGCCTCCTCTCAGGGTCTGCCCTGTCTTGGATGTACCTCTGGAGGGCCCCCGGCCCAGCCTTCAGCTCCCAGGGGCAAGAGACCCAAGTCTGGGGCCTCCCAGAGGCCAGTTCTGACACCCAGGCATGGCAGGAGAGAAGCCAGGGGTAAAGGATGAAGCAAGGGGTGAAGGATGAAGGGTCTCTCTCCCACCCTGCCCTTGCCTTTCAAACTCTTAGGGCTGGTCCTCCAACTTGTCCATGCTGCACTTGACCATTACCGCCTCCCTTCACCTAAGAGGATCCCCACAGAGGAAAGCTGATGGGGACAGTAACAAGACACATCCTCCTGCTTCTCTGCTCAGAAGCCTGCTGTGGCTCCCCAGGTCCCTCCAGGAAAACACCAGAGTCCTCACAATGGCCTCAGGCCCTCCTGCAGGGTCCTAACCTTACTTGAGTCAAGACCTAAGTTGGGGGAAGCGTATGGGCCCTTCTCAGAATAATGTTTTTAATTGAATAAAATAAAATGCATAGGATTTTTAGATTAGAACGAAAACCAATCGTATTGAAGTATGGCGTTATATAATAATATTTACGTTTCTGTATTAACCCCTTATATAACACGGTCTGGTGGCTGGTCTCATAACAACTGTCATGTTGGAGTCGTGATGAATGCGCATGATATTTTGAGGCAACTGCAACAACTGTGAAGTGATGAAAATATCTGATTGCTAGTGGTGACAATATTGCAGGCACTGCTAAACGGCTACCCTACTTTATCGCCTACATTCATAATTGAAGAAAATGCTAACTGTCAGTTTGAGATTACTGAAAATAAACATGTAATTTTCCCATCCTAGTTCAAGGAGTCTCTGAATTAATTCATGGACCCCTTGGCCTGGGAGTGTGAATTAAAAGATCCTATGTACAACCCGGCCAGGTGTGGTGGCTCACACCTGTAATCCCAGCACTGTGGGAGGCCAAGGCAGGCAGATCATCTGATGTCAGGAGTTCAAGACCAGTCTGGCCAACAGGTGAAACCCTGTCTCTCCTAAAAATATAGGCTGCGTGTGGTGACTCACGCCTGTAATCCCAGCACTTTGGGAAGCCAAGGCGGGCGGATCACCTGAGGTTAGGAGTTTGAGACCAGCCTGACCAACATGGTGAAATCCCGTCTCTACTAAAAATACCAAAATTAGCTGGGCATGGTGGTGCGCATCTGTGATCCCAGCTACTCGGGAGGCTGAGACAAGAGAATCGCTTGAACCCGGGAGGCGGAGGTTGCAGTCAGCTGAGATTGCACCACTGCAGTCCAGCCTGGGTAACAAGAGTGAAACTCCAGCTCAAAACAAACAAACAAACAAACAAAAAACAAAAATTAGCCGGGTATGGTGGCACATGCCTGTAGTCCCAGCTGCTTGGGAGGCTGAGGCAGGAAAATTGCTTGAACCCGGGAGGCGGAGGTTGCAGTGAGCTAATATTGCACCACTGAACTCCAGCCTGGACAACAGAATAAGACCCTGTCTCAAAAAAAAAAAAAGATCCTGTGTGCAACCCTTTCTGCTTCTACCCTCCTTGTCTATTCCTGACTGCCCTGCCCCAGACACACTGGCTTCCTTGCTGTCTTTTAAGTATGTCCAACATGCTTAGAGCCTTAGCACTGGCTGTTCCCTCTGGCTGAAGCTCTCTTCCCCAGGTCCCGGTGTGGACCACTCCCTCACTTCCTTCAAGCCTTTGCTCAAGTGCCACCTTCTTGAGACGCCTGCCCTAATAGACCACCTTAATTAAAATTGCTACCTTTCTCCCCTGATACCGTGGTACCCAGATTCCCCTTCCCTGCTCTATTTTCTCTTTTTTCGGAAGCACTCACCATCTTTTGACAGACCAAATTGCTTATCATCTGCCTGCCCCCACTAACATGTCAGTTTCCTGAGAGCAGGGATCATCGTTTTGTTCACTGCTGAGTTTCCAACAAGACCTGGCACATAGTAGGCAGGCAATAAACAAGTGGTGAAAAGTGATGGATTTGCAAGCTGTAAGGTGTTATGTTAAAAAGCCATTTGACCCTGTAAATCTAAAACTGCTCTAAAAATAAGACCTATTAATTTTTTTAAAAAAAGAATTTGAAATAAGCTGAGGTCAGAGATGCTAAGTGTCTTTTACAAAGTCACACCGCAACTACATGACTAGGCAGAGACACCAACCCAGCCCATCACATAAACAAGGGCCTGGGTGAGGAGCAGCAGAGCCTGACCATGACAACGAGGCACTGTGGGTGATTTTCAGGCACCCACAGGGAAGCTCGTTTACCCAGAGATGGTTGATGTCTGATCACACTAAGTGATGACCACCTAGCTCTTGTCCAGCCTTCAGGGGGCAGAGATGGCAGATGGCCTTGGTAGCTGAATGCCCTTCCCTTAGGCTTGGCTTCCTCTCTGGGTCCCCCTCCTCCACAGGGTGACACATGGCTGTGGCCTGTAGCTCTGCTAAAGGTAAAAGTCTCCTTGGCTGCCTGCCAGGGTGACCCCAAAGCAGCGCCAAGCAGGATTATCAGGCCTCTAAAGATAGTCCCCTCCCCAAATAGCAGCCCTATCTGACAGCTTCAAGGGAGACCCAGGGCAGGTCATGGGAGCGGCCCCTGGAGGCAGGTGCCCTGCCAAGATGGAAGGCCAACCGTCTGGCCCTACCAAGGGCAAAGGCCTGGTTTGGGCTGTTTCCACCCATTCGGAGGTCCCACCCTGGCCTGGAGGATGGAGGGCCAGGTAAAGACAAGAGACGGGGGCTCTCTGCTCCAGCCAAACTCCAGTCTCCACTACTCTGGGCTTCTCCAGGGCACAGGTCGCCTATGAGCTCAAATATACACATGCATACATGCTCCCACGCAGGCACACTCACACTGACACAGGCACACACATGGCACACACTCATATGTGCACACATGGGCACTCTCACATCCACACTCACACAGTCCTTGAATACTCACACTTACTCATACACTTATCCATGCACACCCACACTCACGCACACGCAGACACGCACACACATTTGCTCACTCATACACACGCACTCACACACTCAGACCCAAACAGATGCTGCCCCCGGGCTGCTCACTCTCTGCAACAGTTTTTCCCCCTCTCTCAGACAGAATCAGAAGCTCTCTCCCACTGCCGAGGAGGGAGGCACAGCCAGCCCTGTCTCCTGCCTCCTGCGAGGTTGTGAATGTAGCAGTGTCGGCTTGCAGCCGGGCTGCGGGGCACTCCGTGAACACTGAATCCAGCCCCCTTGTTTTGTTGATGAGAAAAGGGAGGCTCAGAAAGGGGCAGTGATAGCTCTAAGGTCACACAGCATTGCTATGGCATATCCAAGATGAGGACTTGAGTCCCTGCCTCCTAGCTCAGGGTCTCTACCTGCACCATGCGCCCCACCTATAGGACCTGCTCTTGACTAATGGAGCAAAGAAGTCTGTGAATGAATGTTGGGTGTTTCAGGGTAAGTTACCTTTCCCTTCCCATGATCCACTAAACAGGAAGAGGTGTTTATGTTCACTGTGAGGGTGGGGCATGAAGTACTCTAGGACGTACCAGGGTGTGTGCGTGGTATGTGTGTGTAATAAGTGATGCTAGAACTCATATATTAAGCTTCTATGCTGGGGCTGTCTCCACAACACCCCACTTCAACCTCACACTTGCATTCCTCACTTCACAGAAGCTAGAAATCAGAAAGAGCAAGTGACTTGCTCAAGGTCACAGAGCAAATAAGCAGTAGAGCTTATTCCAAGTCAAAGTCTGTCTGCCTCCAAAACCTGCCCTCATACCAGCAGCTAAGACACATTATCGCTACTGTGTTCCAGGCACCATTCCACAGGGACTAATGCACTTAATCCTCACAACAGGCCTCCGAGGCAATTACTATAGGACTTCCACTGGATAAGAGGAGAAACTGAGGCACAAAGAAGTAAAGTTGGCCAGGCATGGTGGCTCACACCTGTAATCCCAGCACTTTGGGGGGTCAAGGCAGGTAGCTTGCTTGAGGTCAGGAGTTCAAGACCAGCCTGGCCAATATGGTGACACCCCATCTATACTAAAAATACAAAAATTAGCCAGGTGTGGTGGCACTCTCCTGTAATCCCAGCTTCTCGGGAGGCTGAGGCAGGAGAACTGCTTGAACCCAGGAGGCAGAGGTTGCAGTGAGCTAAGATTGCACCATTGCACTCCAGCCAGAGCAACAGAGGGAGACTCTGTCTCAAAAAAAAAAAAAAAAAAGTGAGGCTACTTGTAAAGCCAAGTCATCTAGCAAATAAGTGTAAAGCTGGGATCTGAACCGACGCCATGCAGGTTCTGCCCATGACGCCACTTAACTTGTGTCAAGTTCTGGATGCTTAACTTGTTCCAAGAACCACCATCTCAGCTGTGGGTGGAGACACTGATACTCAAGGGGAATGGGCCTTTCCTCTTTTGGGGATACCCTCCCACTCCCCTGGACCAGAGTGGAAGGTGGGGAGGAAAGCGTAAGAATGGGGCCACTTGCCATCTTGCTAGTGGATCTTGGACAAGTCCATCCTTCCTTCTGAGTCTCAGTCCACAGGCAGGGGGCAATAGGACTAGGTGATCTCTAACCGTCTTCTAGCTCAGAAATATTGGGCTGGGTCAGGAGCATGCCCCAGCCTCAAGGCTCTCTGGCAGCTTCTACTAGCTCAAGTGTTTGTCTGGGACCCCCTAGAAATGTAAAGACTCAGGAAGGGGCAGGCCCAGAACTCCCTGGAAGGAGCTCTCAGGGCAGAGAGCACTGGTTTGGGAGTCAAGAACCTTGCTTCCAGTTTTAAGTCTGCTGCTGAATTGCTTTGTGACTTTGGGTAGAATACTTGCCCTCTCTGGGCTTTAGTTTTCTCATCAAAAAAAATCTACCCCGCTGTAGGGGCTATTGTGAGTTTCCAACCAGGCAACCAGATGAGAAGGTGTTTGGGGGAAATAAAGGGCTCGACTAATGTTGGCAAATTACTTTTCCCCTCACTTAGTATCCCAAATAATTTGAGGAATTTAGCTATTGATTATGATAATGATAAGAGTTTCTGGCCAGGCACGGTGGCTAACACCTGTAATCCCAGCAGTTTGGGAGGCCGAGGTGGCCAGATCACTTGAGGGCAGGAGTTCAAGACTAGCCTGACCAACATGGGAAAACCCTGTCCCTACTAAAAATACAAAAATTAGCTGGGCGTAGGGGTGGGAGCCTGTAGTCTCAGCTACTCGGGAGGCTGAGGCAGGAGAATCGCTTGAGCCCAGGAGGCAGAGGTTGCCGAGAGCTGAGATTGTGCCACTGCACTCCAGCCTGGGCAATAGAGCGAGACTGTGTCTCAAAAAACGAAAAAAACAAACAAACAAAAAAGAGTTTCTGTGAATTTCCTGGCCAGATCCACTCCTGGGGCCAGGCTGAGTGTTCAACTGTGATAACGATGATCACGAATTGAGTGCCAAGCATTTGTCCCAGACACTGGGTTGGTACTGTCAATACTCTCATTTTTAAAATAAGGAAACTGAGGCTCAGAAAGTTTAAGGACTTTGCCCACATTCACACAGCCAGGAATCCTATCCAGGTGTGTCCAGCTGTCAAATCCAGCCCCTTAGCCACCGGGCCGCACTGCCCTTTGTCCCCCAAGCAGAACTGCGTTCCTCCCTCCACCAGGCACCTGCCCCTGGGAGATATCCCCCCAAACCCAGGTGCCCAAGAACGGGCTGAAAGCAATTGTGTCCCCTCCTGTGTGTGACCTCTGACCTCCCTCCCCGCACACCCCCGCCCCACCTGGGCAGAGTGTCCCCTGTGTCCGCCCGCCTTCCCCGCTCTGACCCTGGCGCCTGCAGGTGCGGCTGGTGATCGCCGAGAAGGGCCTGGTGTGCGAGGAGCGGGACGTGAGCCTGCCGCAGAGCGAGCACAAGGAGCCGTGGTTCATGCGGCTCAACCTGGGCGAGGAGGTGCCCGTCATCATCCACCGCGACAACATCATCAGTGACTATGACCAGATCATTGACTATGTGGAGCGCACCTTCACAGGAGGTACGGCTGCCTCCCCACCCAGGGGCCCACTCCATACCACAGATCCCCAGGGGCCCCCACAGGCTCAGACAGGGTCCCAGAACTTTGGGAAGCCTGGGAAATTCACTGGAGCCATGGGCAAGTCCCAGTCTCCCCAAAAAGGATCCACAGAGCCACAGGCAGGGTTCAGATGCCCCCAAGAGTCCCAGAGCCACAGGCGTGGCTACTGATCCATAAGGACCCCAGAGACCTCCCCCTCCTCTGGTACTGTAAGGGCACAACCCAGACACCACCCCCACCAGGAGTGGTGGGGCTATAGCCCTTTCCCCCGAGCTCTGGAGTCACAGGCACGGCCCCTTCAGCATGAGTGGCTCCAGACCACCCTCTAGGTCCCCACAGACAGGGTCCAGATCTCCCAGGGGTTCCAGAGCAAGGGCAGGGCCCAGCTCCCCCTGAAATATAGAATCCCTAGAAACCCGTAGGAACCTGAAGACATGGTCCCAAATACCCCAGAACCCTGAGACAGGGGAGGTCCCAGACACCCCAGAACCCTGCAGATAGGGGAGGGCCCAGGTACCCCAGAACCCCGTGGATAGGGGTGGGCCCAGGCACTCCACAACCCCGCAGACAGGGGAGCTCCCAGACACCCCAAAACCCCGCAGACAGGGGAGGGTCCTGATACCCCAAAACCCGGCAGACAAGGGAGCGCCCAGATACCCCAGAACCTCACAGAGCCCCCCATCCTCTCCCCACTCAGGCCCTCATCAGGCTCAGGAACTCACTGCCCATTACAGAGGCTCAGACAGACATTGGGAGGGCATCAGGGCCCAGACATGCACTGTTTTAAAAGAATGTGAATTGGTTGCCAACGTTTAAAAGTCAAGGGGACCCAAGCACTGAACACCCAGGTTGCAGCTTCTCTTAAATCCCGCAACACTGGGGCCTAGGCGCTCGCCAGGCAGCAAGTCTGGAGCTGAGAGGCGCTAACCCTCAGGGACGGCTTGGCAGAGCCCAGTGAGGAGAGATGACCGGGCCACCATTAGGACCCCTGTCTGCCAGCAGCCAAGCCCGAGCGTGGGTGGCCCGGGGCCTCTGGGCAGACACATCTTGGGGCTCAGGGATGCCGGGGGCAGGTGGCCGGGGCAGATGCCCCTCTGGCTGCCCTGCCCAGCCCCTGGCGGTGCCCACAGAGCACGTGGTGGCCCTGATGCCCGAGGTGGGCAGCCCACAGCATGCGCGGGTGCTGCAGTACCGGGAGCTGCTGGACGCGCTGCCCATGGACGCCTACACACACGGCTGCATCCTGCACCCCGAGCTCACCACCGACTCCATGATTCCCAAGTACGCCACGGCGGAGATCCGCAGTGAGTGCAGGGGCGGCGAGACGGCCCCTCCGCTTCCCCCATTCCCTGCCACTCCTTTCTTCCAAAGGAAGTCCTCCCCCTCCCAGGCCTTTCTCTGTCCTCCCCTTCCTCCTCCTTCTCTCCCTCTTGCGTTCTCCGTTTGTCCCTGCCTCTCTCTGAGTGCTCGGGGTTGGTTTCTGACTCTGCTGATCTCTCTCTCTCACTCTTGCTCTTTCTCTCTGTGCCTCTTGCTTGCCATCCCCTTCACCTCCGACTTCCCAGCCTTCCATCGCATTCACCCAGTTTCTAACAGAATATGTCTCTCTTCCTGTCTGCCAGTCTCACACCCATCCCCCTCCCCTGCCCCCTACTCTTGTCCTGCCCTCCCATACAGAGACTATGCGGCTGTTTGACCCCACAAGGTTTGTTCTCCCCGCACGAGTTTCAGCCTTAGATAGTCAGGGCTGTGCTCGGTGGCCAAGGGCACTGAGTGACCTCAGGGTTAGGATTACCAAGGAAGGCTGCCCAGATGTGACAAGGCCCCCAGTGGGGTCTCGGATTGAAGGTCACCCATGAGCATGTCCTGTACTAATGGCCAGCCTGGACATGCTCACAGCCTGTCCTTTTGTATCTGACACCCAGTGAATGGATGTTGGATTAAATCAGATAATCCCTCAGCAACTGTTTACAGACTACGATCTAGGCTTTGAACAAACACCATGGGGTCCTACAGCCAAAAGACACCTGAAGATTCTCAGTAGATAATAGGTGCTCAGTAAATGGTCATGTCATCCTCCTCAAAGGAACGTGGCTAATGTTCAAAGGCAGGGTTGAGGCGGTGTTAAGTTGTCCCTTGTCCCTGTCCCTTGAGAACCACTGTCATTGAACAAGACTCAGAATATTTTTTTTCTTCTTTTCTTTTTTTTTTTTTTTTTTTTTTGTGAGACAGGGTCTCCCACTCTCATCCAGGCTGGAGTACAGTGGCACAATCTTGACTCATTGCAACCTCCTCCTCCCAGTCTCAAGTGATTCTCCCACCTCAGCCTCCCGAGTAGCTGGGACCACAGGCACATGCTGCCACGCCTGGCTAATTGCTTTGTATTTTTGGTAGAGATGAGGTTTTGCCATATTGCCCATGCTGGTCTTGAACTCCTGACCTCAGGTGATCTGCCCGCCTTAACCTCCCAAAGTGCTGGAATTACAGGCATGAGCCACTGTATGTGACCAAGACTCAGGATTGACCTATACATCTGGCTCCCAGCGACAGCCCCCTCAACAACATTTATGAGGCCCTGGGCAGGGGACTGGGGACAAACAGAAATAGATACAGCTTCTGCCATCCCAGGGTCAAGTTCCATGGAAGAAAAGACAAGTCACCAGGCAATTACAGTGCAGGACTAAGTGAGTTTGAACAAGCTCTCAGGAGGGCAGCCTGGCGCTCTATGTCAAACATGAAAAAGCCCACATCTTGGAGATTACCCTGCAGTTACACTTGAACACATGCACCAAGAAGTATGAGCAAAGGTATTCACTGCAGCGTAGTTGGCAAGAGCAAGAATATTGCTGGAAATAACCCAGCTGTCACGAATTGGGAACTGGGTAAATAAGTTATGGATACTTCCATACAATGGAATACTGTGCAGATGTTTTTAAAAATTAATAGGTGTATGGAATGCTCCCTAAGATACATTAGTGAGTGGAAAAAAGTGAAGGGCAAAAAAAGAAAAAAAAAACATCTAGTGTGCTATCATTAGTACTCAGAAGGGGGTTAAATGGACACACAGGTGCTTGCACTGCAAGGAGTATTTCTGGAAGGATACACAGAAGCTGCCAATAGTTTGTGTCTTTGGGGAGTAGAACTAAGAGACTGCAGCTGCAGAGGACAGAAATTTACTTTTAGAGTGCATTCTTCAATATTGTTTGAATTTCAACAATATACATGTATAACCTGCTCAAAAATAAATTCATTTAAAAATAATTAATCTGGTGCCCATCAGTGTTATGAGCAGGAGATCGGGGAGGTTGTGGACATACACGATGTCCACCCCAGCCTCTGAGCCACAGAAGCTTTCCAAAATGCAGCAGCGACCGAGGATGTGTAGCAGGTAGAAGGGGAGGAAGAGGGAGAATTCTTTCACATTCTGGAGTAGGACAGGGTGTGTTGTGTTTGGGGAATGGAGGAAGTTCAGGGTGGTGCAAGTGTAACCCAAGGTGGGGTGGAAATGGTCGTGGTGCGTGTCTGGGGACAAGGGTCTGGCAGAATTTGAATTTTGTCCAAAGAGCAGTGGAGACACGGTGATGGGAAGTGATGTGGTCAGATCTGCATTTTATGAAGATCTCTCCTCTGAGGGAAGAATGAACGGGGCAGGCCCTGGCTGTTGGTAGGCAGGGGCCTGGCCGAGGGCTGGAGGCAGTCCCCAAGGGCTTCTGGGAGTTGGGGGCACTCCCTCAATCTTGCCCTGAGCCAGAGCAGACCCAGCCCACTCCCTCCCTCCCCCTCATTCTCTGAGGAGGCAGAGAGGATCTCAGGACTCCAGTCCAGCTGGGCGATGAGGGGTGGGAGGTCCCAGAGTGCAGAAGGAGTAGAAGCCAGCCTGCAGCGACCCCTTAATCAGTCTCAGATCTTCTCTTGGGCTGGCCTGCCCTTCTGGAGTCTAAAGCCAGCCACATGGGCAGCACGGGTGACAGGCAAGAAAGAAGATGCTGTCCTTGACCTTCACATTCATAAAACATCAATGAGACTTAATATAGCCCTGAAGCTGAATGATCTGGGAGTGTGTTTACTGGGATTTGTGTCAGGACAGGAGATGGGGCAGTGGGTGGTGAAATCTCAGAGGACAGAAGCTAAACAACCTAAGTCACTAATTCATTTCATTCATTCATTCAACACTCACTGAGCTCCTGCTCTGTGCCGGGCCTGTGCTGGGTTTTAAGGGAACAAAGATGAATCTGACATACTGACGTAGCCACTTCTCTCCAGAAGCTCAAGTGTTAGAGGGAGATATACACATTCAGCGATAACTACGTTAGCACTAAAATCTCCACGTCCAGCAAGCAGGCAGGTGGTGGACTGCACAACTCTGGGAGGGCTCCATAACATACAGCAAGGTTAACGGAGTTGTGACTGGCAGCTCTGATTAGTGTGTTTGCATTCCCTGGCCTAACTCTGTAGGGTGTAAATTGGGGAAGAAAGACATCGAGTGGGCCAACGTCCTAGAGAATCGGGAAGGGCTTCATGGAGGAGGAAATCTTTAGCTGAATCTAGAAGGAGGCTTTCAGGAAAGGAGGATAAGGCTAGTTTAGGAAGAAGTAGTAGTATGAGCAGAAGCCTGGAGGTGTGGAGTGATCTGGCACATTCAGGGAACAGCAAGCATGTAGAGTGGCTGAAATGTACATCTTGGGACAGGAACAGCTGAGGAAACTCAGTGAAAGATGGAGTTGGTGAGAGGGAGGGAAGTGGATCCTGAAGGCTCTTTGAAGGCAAGTTGAGGAACCAGGATGTTATCTGAGGGCAGTGAGGAGCCAGGGATGGGTTTTCAACAGAGAGTGGCATGGTCAAGTGTGTGATGAAGATATCTCTGGCAGGGGTGGGGAGAAGGGCTCGTAAGGGAGAGAGGAGAGGTGGCAGAGGGTGGGTAAAATCATCCAGGTGAGACATTAATGGGGTCTGAACTAAGAGTCAGTTAAATGGAGGAGGTTAAATGTGAGAAAATATGAGAAAGATGGAGGAGGAAGAATCAACAGTACCTGGGAATGACTTGATGTGGAGTGAGGTAGTGGGAGGAGCTGAGGGCAAATCCAGGAATCTGGCTGGGCTTTGTGTCGGGGACGGGATGCTGCAATTTGGGAAGAATGCAGGGGGAGAAGCAGTGAGGCAGGGAAGATGACCAGGTCTATGGTCGGGTCTATCGGTTTCTGGCATCTACTACTCGTCCTCAAGGGTAGAGTCTCCTCCTCCGTGAGATTTCTCATCCCCTTGTGCCCTAGGCAGGCAGCCCCTAGGTCCCTCTGCCTTGCGTTCATTCTTCCCTACAGATTAATCATGCTGTACCATAGAGTTTACTTTTATTTTTTTTGAATGTGTATTTTATAATATTGCTGAAGTGTATTATTTATTTATCTTGCCTTTTTTTAGAGAAGGGGTCTCACTCTGTCACCTAGGCTGGAGTGCAGTGGTGCAATCATAGCTCACTGCAGCCTCGACCTCCTAGGCTCAAGCGATCCTCCTGCCTCAACCTCCTGAGTAGCTGGGACTATGGCGTGCGCCACTACACCTGGCTAACTTTTTTTTTTTAAAGATGGGTTCTTGCTATGTTGCCCAAGCTGGTCTTGAACCCTGGACTCAAGTGATCCTCTCACCGCAGCCTCCCAAAGTGTTAGGATTACAGGAGTGAGCCATTGGCTGAGATTTATGTGCCTGTCTCTCCCACCAGCCTGAGCTCAGGGCAGGATGGCATCTCATCCGTCACTATAGCGCAGCCTGCAGTGCTCCCTAAGTGTTGGCTGTTGACAGTATTACTCCTCTGACCAGTGTTTGGATGGGGCCTACTTCAAGTTGTGTAAGGGAAGTGATGGGGGAGCAACCCAGGTGTCAGAGGGATGGGACCTTTCCTATTCTCTCCCCAGGACATTTAGCCAATGCCACCACAGACCTCATGAAACTGGACCATGAAGAGGAGCCCCAGCTCTCCGAGCCCTACCTTTCTAAACAGAAGAAGCTCATGGTGAGTACCTCCAGGCCTGCTGAGTCCCCTTCCCTACCAGCTGCTCCATGGAAATGAACAAGAGGAGAAGCTAAGTAGAAGATAAGCAGTTCTAAGTAGAAGATCAGCTGATGATATGAAATGGAAAAGCCCCTGGCTTGCTTTTCCAATCCTGTCCCCTGCCATTTACTAGCTGTTAGACCTTGGGTAAGCCACTGCTGCCCTGGGGTCTCAGTTTCCTCATGTGTTAGGTTGTGTCTTTAAAAGCAGAGCATTGGCCAGGCATGGTGGCTCACTCCCGTAATCCCAGCCCTTTGGGAGGCCGAGGTGAGGGATCACTTGAGGTCAGGAGTCCGAGACCAGCCTGGCCAACATGGTGAAACCCCGTCTCTACTAAAAACACAAAAATTAGCCAGGCATCATGGCAGGCACCTGTAGTCCCAGCTACTCAGGAGGCTGAGGCAGGAGAATTGCCTGAATCTGGGAGGCAGAGGTTGCAGTGAGCTGAGATCGGGCCATTACACTCTAGCCTGGGCAACAGAGTAAGACTCTGTCTCAAATAATAATAATTACAATAAATATATAAATAAATAAAAATAAATGCAGAGCACTGAACAGGGGTTCTTGGGAAAAGGAGGTATTGAAGGATTGCTCTGAGGGGGACCTCAGAGGGATGGGAGGGATAAGGAAGAGGAAGCAGCTAAGCCTCATTTGATTCCACAGGAATCTCTGGAGCACAAATGGCACCACAAAGGTGATCAACCTTGAAGTAAGGGGCCAGTCTTTTATCCCCTCATATCAGTGGGACATTGGCTACAGATTATTGGAGGGAGGGTGAGGGCAGGTAACCTCCCAAGTATTTGTGGGCAATGCAGCTCCTTATTGGCTGAGAGAAGGGGCAACTGTGAGCCACTAGCAACCAGCCCTCCCAGCATCGGGGTATAAGAATGTACCAGGGATCTAGGCAGGACAGTCAAGCTCACAGGACTGTTGTAGGCACCAGATGAGGGTGCTTCAAAACAGGGGGGCATCCTATACACTTGGGGGGTATTTGGAGGCTGGGTTTGCAGAAGTTTAGCAAAGCTCCTTCCATCCCTGAACATCCTGACTCTATTGAGGCCAACTCAGCTTCTCTTGGCCCTGTCCTGCCCCCAGGCCAAGATCTTGGAGCACGATGATGTGAGCTACCTGAAGAAGATCCTTGGGGAGCTGGCCATGGTGCTGGACCAGATCGAGGCCGAGCTGGAGAAGAGGAAGCTGGAGAACGAGGGTGGGTGCCAGCCCTGGGGGAGGTGGGGGCTGCAGCCCACCTAGCCTACTCTGCCCCTGCCCAGTCTCAGCCTCTTTTTTCCCTAAAGGTCTCAGAGGACCTCCCCAGGTGGTTAGGAGGATGGGCTATGGAGTCAGACTAAGGTTCAAGTCATAACTTGGCCACTTCCTAGCTGAGTAACTGTGCTCAGGTTCTCCCTTCTCTGAACTTCAGTTTCCCATCTATAAAATGGGGATAATAGTAGGACCTGCCTCAAAGAGCTGTTGAGACATTGTGTGAAATAATACATGTAGAGTGCTTAGATTAGGGCTTAGCACATAGTAGGTGTTTAATAAAGGTAGGTGAAGATGATGATGAGAGTAGTGATGGCCACTACCCGCCACACCATCCCACTTTCCCTGCCCAAGAATGCATTATGGCTCCTTTGTGCTCCAGCCAGACATCCAAGCTCACCCAGACTCTCCTTGTCCTTGACTCTTCCTGCTCCCAGCTGGGGCTCTAGACTTGGACATGCCAGGTTCATTCTACCTCCACACTTTTGCCCCCACAGCCCCTCCCTCCTGGAGCACCCTTCTTATACCACTCCACTCCATTTTGCCTGTTACACAGCATCTTTGCCACAGCCCTTCTTCAAACCTCATTCTGAGCCTTCCCATCTTGCTCCGTTTAAGACCTGTGAGTCTTGTCTCCTGAACAATGCAAATTTATGGAGCATTTGCAACAGCCTCCTGCATATGCATAACTATGTGTACATACATATCTCTATGTATGTTAGAGTAAGAACAACTTGAATTAGAGTTCCAGCTTTGCTGCCTGAACTATGTAACCTTGGACAAGTTGCTTTCCCTATTGGAGCCTCAGTTTCCTCATCTATAAGATGGGATGGTAATAATACAACTTAACCCTCTCTTGCTGGACTCTTGTGAAAATTCAATGTACTCAACACACTGCCTGTGCCATTACTAGTTTAATACATAAGGCAGCTAAAGGCACGCCCATTCTCCAGATGAGGAAACTGAGGCTCAGAGAGATGAAGCGAGTTGTTCAAGGTTAGGCAGCTCATAGACATCATGGTTAGGGCCAGAACTTGTTCCCTCTTGATGGGTCCAGTGTTGTTTCCAGCATCTCACAACTGATGCCACAAGCACAAGACACACACAGAGACCCCATGTCTCGAGCAGAGACATCATCATGCATACTGAAGCCAGCTGCCTTAAATCTTTTCTGGAAACAAAGCCTGGTATGACTAGGTGAGTAAAAAATAATAACACATCTCAAAGGGGAACTTTTGGCTGGGCTCAATGGCTCATGTCTGTAATCCCAACACTTTGGGAGGCCGAGGCAGGTGGATCACTTGAGGTCAGGAGTTCGAAACCAGCCTGACCAACATGGCGAAACCCCGTCGCTACTAAAAATACAAAAATCAGCTGAGTGGGGTGGTGGGTTCCTGTAATCCCAGCTACCTGAGAGGCTGAGGCAGGAGAATCACTTGAACCTGGGAGGCAGAGGCTGCAGTGGGCCCAGATTGTGCTACTGCCCTCCAGCCTGGGGGACAGAGAGAGACTCCGTCCCCCGCCCCCCATCACACACACACACAAAAAGGAACTTTCCTGTTTCTATCCTAATGGTAGCTAAGGGGAGCTGTTGCAGAGTTAATGGCTCTCAGGGGCCAAAAGGCTTGGTAGTTCAGAGATGGGCCTTTGGGGGACAGAGTCCCAGCTCTGCTATGCTCTTGGTGGGAGACCTTGGACATCAGGTATATGTTACTCACTTATGCATTAGTTTCTTAGGACTTCCATAACAAAATACTACAGACTGAGGGGCTTAAAGAGCAGAAACCTATTGTCGCACAGAGCTGGAGGCTAGACATCTCAGATCAAGGTTCCTTGGAGTGGGTTTCTCCTGAGGCCTCTCTCCTTGGCTTGCAAGTGGCCGCCTTCTTGCCGTGTTCTTACATGGCCCTTCCCCTGTGCTGCACAAGCCTGGTGTCTTTGAGTCCAAATTTCCTCCTATAAATACTTTAGTCCGATTGAATGAGGACCCACCTTAAGGTCTCTATTTTAAGGTAATCATCCCTTTAAAAGCTCTGTTTCCAAATACAGTCACATTCTGAGAGTTCAGGGGTGTCCAATCTTTTGGCTTCCTTGGGTCACACTGGAGGAAGAATAATTGTCTTGGGCCGCAAATAAAATATGCTAACACTGACGATAGCTGATAAGCTTTAAAAACATCGCAAAAAAATATCAGAATGTTTTAAGAAAGTTTATGAATGAGTTTTGGGCCACATTCAATGCCATCCTGGGCTGCATGTGGCCCGCGGGCTGCAAGTTGGACAAGCTTATTCTAGGGCTTAGGGCTTCAACATGTGAATTTTGGGAGGGTCACAATCCAGCCCAGAAAAATCTATGTATTTAATAGACCTTACTGTGTGTCAGGCACTGTTCTAAGTGTTTCACAGATTTCAACTCACTCAATCCCCGTAACAATCCCAGGAGGTGGGTAATACCAGCGATCCTGTTTAACAGATGAGGATCCTGTTTAACAGATGAGGAAGCACTAGCTCTGGGCTCTTTCCTGTTCTATAAAAGGGTGATGGGTTGGGCGCGGTGGCTCACGCCTGTAACCCCAACACTTTGGGAGGCTGAGGCAGGTGGATCACTTGAGGTCAGGAGTTCGAGACCAGACTAGCCAATATGGTGAAACCCTATCTCTACTAAAAATACAAAAAATTGCCTAGGCATGGTAGTGGGCACCTGCAAGCCCAGTTATGTGGGAGGCTGAGGCAGGAGAATCACTTGAACCCAGGAGGTGGAGGTTGCAGTGAGCCGAGATCACACCACTGTACTCCAGCCTAGGCACCAGAGCGAGACTCTGTCTCGAAAAGAAAAAAAAAAAAAGGTGGGGGGTGATAGCATGAGTGCCTACGTCCCAGGGCTACTGCGAGGACCAATGAGCAAATGCATGTAAGGGGCTTAGCACAGTGCTGGGCACACAGTACAGAAGTGTCCATATATATTGTGATCCAGAGAGACACAGGGTCTGACCTGGATGGAGGCTAGGGTGGACGATTCTGGAGAATAGCCTCAGACATGCATTCCTTGTGAGATTCCTAGACTGGGATCCTGCGGCTGACCCCTGTCCTGAGGCCTTCTGAGAGGAGACAGCACTGCACTGTCCCATGGTGAGATAAGTGGGGTTGTTCAAGATGGAGAGGTGTCCTTGCATCCCTCTGGGGCTGGGGGAGGGAGCAGAAGCCCCAGGGAAGTGGTTATGGATTTTAAAGGTCTGACTGGTTGGGCCCACATGGCCTCTGTTGCTCATCCAGGTTCCCTGAACCTGAATGGGTGAAACACTTGTATGCCTTTCATTTCTTCTCTTGTGGGCACAGCCCAGTTTTGGGAGGGATTTTAATGTCACAGTTGAGACCCCTTGCATGGAGCCAGATGGCTTTGATGCAGATTCCTGATCAACCACTACCTAGCTCTGTGACCTTGTGGAATTCACTTCACCTCTCTGAGCTCATCTATAAAATATTGATAATAATAGAATCAAAGTCATAGCAGGATTGCTGGTGGAGGATTTGTTAAGATAGTAAATGTTGAGTACTTTGCACAGTGCCTGGTTCAAGGTAAAATGTTCTAAAAATAATTATTATTACCATTCTTTTTCATTCATTTAATCAAATATTTACTGAACACCTACTAGATGCTAGGTCCTGGGGATAAATTAATGAGTAAAACTCAGACCTCATTATTGCTTTCATGGAGTTTGCAGTCTTACAGAGGAAAAAGACTTTAAGTCAAATAATCCCATAAGTAAACACAGAAGTGCACACAGCAATAAGTGTTAAGATTGAGAGTAAATGAACAGGATTAAGTGGATAAAGTTTCCCTGAGAAGATGATATTCAAAGTGAGACCTGACGGATGAGAAGGAGCCTAGAGAAGAATCAGGGAAGATATGACCCAGACTGAGGGATGCCATGGAGTGGGAGAGAACTGGGAACTCTTCAGAAATGGGCTGCTGCGTGGGGAGTCCTGGGGAGAGTGGTGGGAATGAGGGGAGAGCTGCACTGGGTGAGGTGAGATCACGGGCCTCAGAGCCTACATTTACAAGTTTGGATTTTATACTAAGTACAATGGGAAGTCTCTGGAGGGCTTTGAGGAGGGGATTATATCAGTTAGTTTCTGCTGTATAACAAACCATTCCAAATCTGAGTGACATAAAAGAAGGGCCTTTTATTTGTTCATGATATGTGGCTTGGCAGTGTGGGCTCGGCTTAGCTGGGATGGCTTGCCTCTCACACATGGGGAATGGCTGACCTCATTCCTGCATTTCGGGCCAGCAAATTTAAGACAGTAAATGTTGATTACTTTGCAAAGTGCCCAGCTCAAGGTGAAATGTTCTAAAAATTATTATTATCACCATTCTTTTTCATTCATTTATTCAAATATTTATTGAACATCTCCTAGATGCTAGGTCCTGGGGATAAATTAATGAGCAAAATCCAGACATCATTCTTGCTCTCACGGAGCTTGCAGTCTTTGGGAAAAAAACCATGAGTCTTAGATAGCAGGAGGAGCAAAGCCATCAAGATGCACATATTGCAAAGTGGCATGCGTACAGGAATGGGAGGGACTCATGGCCCTGTTTGCAGTCTCCATGGGGCTGAGTAGTTCTAGTTTTATATTTGAGAGGATTCCAATGGCTGTGTGAAAATGGACTTCAAGGGAGACAGAGGGGAGGCCGGTGCAGCAGCTCAGGTGAGAGATGATGTTGGCGTGGACCGAGATGGTTGCAGTGGAGATGGTGAGGTGTGAATGGACTTGAGAGGTAGTTTGAAGATAAAATGAGCAGGAATTTACATGGGGGTTGGCAGTGAGGTAAAGGGAATCAAAGGTAACTCTTGGGCCAGGCATGGTGGCTCATGCCTGTAATCCCAGCACTCTGGGAGGCCAAGACAGGTGGATCACGAGGGCAAGAGATCAAGAACATCCTGGC